ATGCCCCTAAGTTTGTAAGACTAAGCCTATACCACCCCCACGGCAGAGGAGTTGCCCCATGTTAAGGGGAAGGCATGGGGTTCATGGCAGAGGTACAAGGCTTGCGTGTTATGTGGGAAGAATTCATATATTGCTCTGCCTCCAGGTCCTGGCTTGTGCTCAAAGGACTGTTCTCTTAAGAGACCACCTGCTTTAGGCTATGCTCCACCACATGGAGAAGTAGTTAATAGGGAACATAAAGCCAAGAAGCTGAAGAAAGCATTCAAAACAAGACATTTATTGAGCGGCAAGTCTTCATCCCACACAAGAATCTGCAGCCACCCCACACAAGACTCACAGTATCCTGGCTGTACCACTAGCTCTTCAGCCACAGCTGGGTCTCCACAGATATAATAACTGGTCCATCTCCCACTTTCTGAGCCCCACTACGCACTCAGATCCAAAACAAGGTCCGGACTGGTGGACACCATGAAAAGATAAACTCGTCGTGATATGTCTGGTCCAATCCGCCGTTCTCTCCCACCATCCTCTGGCTTTACCTGGAGGTCACTCAGCAGGTTAAGTCTGTCATTCTCTGTGCTGCACTCTTCATAGGCCTTATAGGAAACAGGAAGCCACATTTGTGTAAATACCAGACCCCTAAAACTCAATTATCATTGGGGCCAAATCCACCTGTGGTGACAAGAAGCTGTGCCTTTGGCCACGCACACAGGATTCAGAGGATAATGTCAGAACTACTGTCACATTCACAAATAACCCCTGCTCCCACCCCCAACATAGGGAGATGCATGTCATTATCCTGTTCCCAAGGAAATGGATGCAAAATCCATCTGTACTGAAAGGGTTAGTTGAGAGTTTAAATCTGCTCTTCGCTGGCATAAAGGGACAAAGCCTGCATGACTAATACTGACCCGAAGAAGAAACAAGTGCTCATAAGTGTTGATCTCCCACCAAAAATAACTAAGTAGACACTGAGAAGAAGCAGCCGGAAATTTCACACCAAGCATTATGTAAGTGAAAAGTAATGGAGAATTTTCATTAGTCTGACTACTCTCTTCTTTGCGCCCCCTCTCAGAGGCGGCCCATCTCGATTCTTTTGACTATTTTAGAGCCAGCTGATTGCAAGGGGGTTGGTTTGGAAGTCAGCCATTTAAAAATAGCTGAACAGAGTTATTGGATGTGCTGCACAAGGTGAAATGCAGAGCTGGACATGCTGAAGTAGGGACTAGACAGACAAAAGGGAAAACTCTGCACTAGCCACGCTACAGAGAGAATGAGATAAGCTATAAAAGATTTTTGTAGAACAACTACTGAAACAGCTGCCCACCCCATGCCCTTTCTTGGATGCAGCTACCAACTTAACTGGGGAAATCTGTTTCATACAATAGCAGTTTGTCTGTCAGACAGAACTCTCCCACCAGTGGGAGAATACATCATGTCCTGTTCTCAGAAAGGTCTCCCTTCCCTGTTCTGTCTTCATTATCCCTCCAACAGCATTTCAATCAATGTCTGAGTGGTTTGAGAACTGACCTGAAGCAGCAGGCTTGGGGAGGGATATGCTTCTGCTATAGCTACTACCGCAGCAGGGCTGACTCTGTTAAACTGCTGGATTTGTCTCTTCCATGCCTGTCGGAGTCCTGTCCCATCCTTCTCCACTCGCACGCCACTGGACCACTTCCCATCAGTGCAGAAGGAGAATAATTCAGTCTCCTGTAGCTTCCTGCAGAAAGCCAGACCCCTCAGAGCAAGGCCTACATGTGGCACATGCAATGACCAATGCTATATAGTCAGATCACGCCCTGTCCCCAGATTCAGTGAGGGAAAGAAGGGGGCCTTCTGTTTCATCTCTCACTGCTCCAGCAGGACCAGGATTGTTCTTTGCACCATTGGCCGTCTCTTCTGAAAACCCACAAATTATTTTAATAACCTGAGTCCAGGATGCAAGTCCTTCCTTAAGCAAACATCTTTCAACAGAATTCATCATAGTAGCTGTGCCAACCATGTTCCCAGAGTCGAGTCACAAACCAAACAAAGGAGTGTCACAGGATCATTAGAACGTGGCACTGGAAAGGACTGCATCTCCTGGACTGAGATAGGGTCACATATACCTAGACCAGGGGCAGCAAACTCACCTTCTGTCCCAGGCCAGATCTGGACAGTGGGGTTTCTTTATACCCCAAGATCTCATCCAGATCCAGCCCAGGGTACAGGGTGGCTCCCATGGCAGCTGCAACTCTGGCTCCTGCTCAGGTCATGCGGCAGTAGCAGCAGCAACAGGGGAGCCAGCAGCCAAGGAGCTGGGGCCATGTGAAGGGTGAGAGGTGAGGAAGTCATAGGCTGACTGGAGCTATATCAGCCCTTGCTCACCCTCCTGCCAGTGGCTGCCACGTCCAATGGGCCTGATAGCCCCAGATTCTACAGCAGGCTACTTCCCCAAAACTACAACCCCAACTTCTGGTGGTCCACCAGTAGCCCAGCAGGCTGCAGACAGTGGCTCGGCAGACCAGATACAGCCCACTGGTCGTGTTCAACACTCCTGGTCTACACCATCCCTAGAAAACATTTGTCTAATGCCTTTTTAAAATCCTCCCATAAGATTTTATGATATTCTGTATTTGGGATTCAGCAGGGACAGTTTTTCAGAGCAAGAGGTTTGGCAATACAAGCTCACTTGTATGGGCGTTTTGCTATTGCTTTAGTCAGTGCGGAGACATGCTGACCAAATTCCTGCCACGTGTCCAGGAACGATACCATAGTGTTAGCCCACAGCTGCAGCACCACCAGCACCTGCAGGAGAAGAACTACAATGACTGAAACATGCAAGACACAAAGCAAATTGGTCCCCTCCTGATTACAAGCCTGACCAGGTCAATCACAGGACAATTTGCAGCCCACACCCTATCTCCAAAGGCACCCAGCCTGCTCAGACTTCCAGACAGCTGTGCTCATGTCAGTCACGCAGAACTTCAGAGGCTTCTTGCTGTCAGAGCAGATGGAAAGGTCTCATCTATTTGGGCACAAGCCCCTCTCCAGTGATGGTACTCGCTTTTTCCTAGACAGAGGAGAAGGTGGGCTAACTGCAGTAACTCATGTATATGGAATACAGCAGAAAAGCTCACTCATCCCTTCTTAGCTCCCAGTAAGCCAGCCAGTCATTCCCTTTTGGGGAATTCTCAGGAAGGGCTGGAATTCACTTAGACAGATGAGTGGTTTAGACTCCAAATCTGACCTATTTTCAGACTGCTGATGTAGTAAGGATCTCAGTTAAGAATGTATTTGGTCACCAAAACACTTTAAAAATGATTCAGTGGCCATTTCTTTACAGCACACCAACAAAGTGGGTGCCAGTGTTACCTTCTGGTTGTGCAGTGGGGGGAGGGAGGGAAGGGTGTGCGCACACACAAGTGGTGACCACAATAAGGGTGCCTAGATTTTGTTGTGCGCCACTAGGCAATAGTGCAAGCCCCATTCACGTTTCTACTCTGGTTCTTCCATTAGTTCCTCTCAGTGTTGTTTTCTGTGTCAGTTCCCTCAATAAAAGGACACAAGCACAGACCACTAAGGCAAGAGCCATCAAAAAGTCAACATCTGCCTACAGCTACCACAAACATCTTGGTTATATGATATACATGAACAATCACTGTTGGTAAGATGCTAATTTTTCATGGCAACTGCCATAAGCAAGAGACCAGTGCTGACTTCCATCAGTTTGGAATATACCCAGGGAATGAGGTCAATGTAAAGTGTATCAAAAGAAAAAAAGGAAGAAGCAAAGAAATTATACTTTTCAGCTTTCAGAAGCACACACATGTGCATGCATGTGTGCGCATGTACACACGCACACAAGTGCATATAGTAAAAGGCTAGGGCAGGATGCCACAGGGTGCCACATAATATTGCCACCATTAGGTGTGCAAATGCCTTCATATGATTCACAAGATAAACCCAGATATTTCAGATAGGAATTCAGTTTCAAAACTATTCTGCCCTGCTATGAACTTTCCAAGTTCTTTGCAATAGAAAATTGCTCTATTATTTTTCAGTAGTTCAAAAGTGAGTGAAAGCTCAAAGCTGGCATTTTGCACAGGGGGGTGGGGGAGGGGCCTTGAGTCAAATTTTTTAGAGAACGGTTGACTTAGGAAATAAGCATCCTGAATACATTTTGGGTGGTTCAGGGCTGCTGACATATATCAGCATGATACCCCTGTTAAGGAAAGGCCCCAGTGTAGTGGTGAGAGCAGAGTGGTATCCTTGTCGGCTACACCAAAGTGCCTCAGAGATGCATCCCAGGAGGTGAGCAGAAAATGGAGCTTTCAGAACTTGGATTTATGATCCTGCTAGTACCAAAGGACACTGAGATAATGGCCTTGAGAAAACCTGTCTATATTAGTACCAAGCTGAGACTGACAATGACTTCAAACAGGCTATTGGGGGTCAGGAGTATCCAGGCCACTTTCAAGTTGGCCAACCTTGGCTACGTCTGAACCAGCATTATCATCACACAACTCCAAAATCCCTCTGCCTAGCACCAAGCATCACCATCCCCCGCCCTTCCCCTTTTCCCAGGACAGTGAAATAGGCAGACATTCTGTACTACACGGGATGATACCATGCGAGTCAGGTCAGCCTACATTCCCAAGGGCGCACCAACAGGAACTTTCTCTTCCCACAGCTAGAACATCTATGGCCATAAGCAACATTAGTGTTCGAAGCCTGTTAGTTTCACCTCCTCTATCTCCTGCTGTGTCATTGACAGCTCTGGGCCGGGCTGGAATCTGAGATCCTCCTGTTGACCCTGTTCTCCAGAGCACAGTGCCTGCTGCCTGTCCCAACCCCGATTGTACCTAGGAAGAAATGACACATGGTTCACATTCCCCAGCAAATCTTCCCTTGAGAACAGTCAGTACAGCCACAGACTACTGGTAAGACAGACTATATCCTTCCATATTTGCCAGCTCCCTCCCCTACTAGAGGCTGGAGATAGAGGTGGCTACTATGTTTGATTCATGCCATCTGCTCACATGCTGCAAGTAGGCAAAATCTCCAGAGAACTTTGCACATCCGACACTGCCAGCATAACACTATGCTTCCATTGCTAGCCCCCTGGACCTTGCACAGAGCTGGGCTGAAGAACCAAAACTTGGGAAAAAAGCCCCAGCTCCTATTGCTGCCTCTGCAAAGGATGACACCAGCCACAAAAAGATTCAATGTGCTCTTATTAAAGACAAGGCTGCAGCTGGCTAAAAATGACCACCACTTGGGTTGTGTGTGGCTATATGAACAGGACATTATTTATGCTCCCTCCAGATCAGCAGCAACATGGGAGTAAGACAAGAGCTTGACCCACTGAGTCAGAGGGGAAAGCAACAAGGGTGATATTGTTGTGAGGGTCTGCTATAGACCACCAGACCAAGAGGATGTGGTGGATGAGGTCTTCTTCAAACAGCTAGCAGAAGTTTTCCAATAACAACTCTTGGTTCTCACGGGGGACTTCAATCACCCTGACATCTGCTGGGAGAGTAATACAACAGTGCACAAGCAATCCAGTAACTTTTTGGAGAGTGCTGGGGACAACTTCTGGTGCAAGGGTTGGAGAGGCCAACAAGAAGCCATGCTCTTCTTGACCTGCTGCTCATGAACAGGGAAGAATTGGTGGGGAATGTAGTGGTGGATGGCAACTTGGGCAGCAGTGACCATGAGATGATTGAGTTCAGGATCCTGAGGGAAGGAAGGAAGGAGAGCAGCAGAGTAAAGACCTTGGATTTCAGAAAAGCAGACTATGACTCACTTAGGAAACTGATGGGCAGGATTCCCTGGGAGATGCATCTGAGGGGGAAAGGCATCCAGGAGAGTTGGTTATATCTTAAAGAAACCTTACTGAGGGTGCAAGAAGAAACCAACCTGATGCACAGGAAGATTAGCAAGTATGGCAGAAGACCAACTTGGCTAGCAGGGAACTCTTCAGTCAACTAAAACACAAAAAGTAAGCTTACAAGGAGTGGAAACTTGTACAAACAACTAGGGAGGAGTCTAAGAGTATTGGTTCAGGCATGCAGGGATGAAATCAGGAAGGCCAAAGCCCAACTGGAGTTGCAGCTGGCAAGGGACATGGAGGGTAACAAGAAGGGTTTCTACAAGTATGTCAGCAACAAGAAGATGATCAGCAACAAGAAGTTGCTCCTGTGGCTGCTCCTGCTGGGGTGAGGTGGGCGGTGCTGGGGCTGCACCGGGCTGCTGTGGGAGAAGCCACGGCTTGTCCTGCTGCTCCCACGGAGGCAAGGTGAGGGGGGCAGTGCTGGGGCTGTACCAGGCAGCTGCAGGAGAAGCCACAGCTCATCTGGCTGTTCCCACCAGGATGAGGTGGACAGTGCCAGGGCTGCACCGGGCTTCCACGGGAGAAGCTATGGCTCATCCAGCTGCTCCTGCTGGGGTGAGGCAGGCAATGCTGGGGCTTAGCCGGGCAGCTGCAGGAGAAGCCACAGCTCATCTGGCTGCTCTCCCAGCTGCTCCTGTGGGGGCGAGGCAGGCAGTGCCGAAGTTGCGCAGGGTGGCCATGGGAGAAGTGATGGCTAGGCTGGCTGCTCTCCCAGCTGCTGCCACTGGGGGGAGGCAGGCAGTGCTGGGGCTAATCTGGGCGGCTGTGGGAAAAGCTGTGGCTCAAGCCGCTTGTCTGGAAGGGCATGGGAAGGGGCTGCCCATGTACCATTCTGTTTCCAAACTGCCCATAATCAATAAATCTGGTAGAAGTGATGTTTCTTCTTTTAAGAAACGTAGAACAATTACTACGGAAACAAAAATGGAAACAATTAAGATGCCCAGAAAAGGTGAGACCCCCACCACTGAAAGACAAGGCAAGAATTCAGGAACATATTAAGGGCTTGGCTCCTATGCACTCGACTGTGATAACTAAGCAGCATGTTGGACTTAATACTCAGGTTGAGAAACTGTTAATCATTTGGCTGGAGGATCAAAATAAATGCCAGGCTCCTGTGAGTTTAGGCATCATTCAGGAAAAGGTTAGGATTCTTTATGATGACCTAAAGCAACAACAGGAGAAGAGTTCTAATGCTGAGCCTTTTCCTGCAAATGGTGGTTTTCAAGCCAGGGCCAATTTGTAAAACATCAAGGTTTCAGGTGAAGCTGCCAGTGCTGATGAAGACGCAGCTCATGCTTTTCCTGAGACACTGGCTGAAATCATTACAAAGGGTGGGTATTGTGCTCAGCAAGTTTTTGATGTTCATGGCTGCCATGCCCCTGTTTGAGGAACATGACCCCAACATTGAACACAGTGCATCAGTGAATAGGGGCATATCCAACATGTACAGCTGCTACAGCTGCTACAGAGAAATTTACAAGCAAAAGAAGAGAACATCTGTCCAAACTTCCTTGGACACTTTCTTTAAGAAAGCAGCCAAGACTCCAGAAAAACCTGCAGCTAAGACTCCTGAGAAGACTCTAGGCAACAACGTTCCAAAAAGTCCAACCAAGAGCCCTTCAAAGTCCAGCAAAGTCACCTCAAAGAAGTCCTTTCAAATCAATGTGATTGCTATTTACAATACAGATACATAAATAAATACATATACACAATAAATAAATCCCCCTCACGCCCCAGGGGAGGAGCACGTAGGCCAAAGGTCAGTGAGGATCTAGTCAGGGAACTTCTGGAGGGACTGGATGCATTTAAATCAGCTGG